AATAACGATATTTCGCGATTTTATTTTTCTTGAAAATAGGAATATTCCGCGAATTATTTTGCGATTTTATTTTCTTGAAAATAACAATACTCCGCAATTTTATTTTTTTGAAAATAACAATACTCCGCGATTACATTTTCTTGAAAAACACGAATATTCTGCGGATTATTTCGCGATTTTAGTTTCTTGAAATTGGAATATTCCTGCAAGTATTTTTTCATTATTTTTGCAATTTATTTTTTGAGGAAATTCGAAATTTGTTGCGCAACCTTTCTACTGCGATTTCCCATTGTATTAGTCCGCGATCTTTTCTTCTTTGAAGATTCGTGGCTGAGGAGATCCAGGAAAAGTTTCGATTCTATTCCTTCAAAAATCCCCGTTACTTCTGGAATTCGAAATTTTTGAACTTCGTTTTTCAATCTTTTTTTTGAAAATCGTTTTTTTTTTTTTTTTCGGAAATTATTTTTTCGGGAACCCTCTGCGCACACTCTCATGTGACATATTCCGAACTTTTTCCCTTCGGAATTTGCCGAACCTGCGGGAATATATTTTCTCTCGCAGTTCAGCTGTCCCCCCATTGTCTCCATTCTGATTCATTGCAGCCTGCGATTCGACATTTTTTTTACTGTTCGTAACTGCTGCGGGGATATCTAAGGAGCCTACCAAGCTTGCAAATTCGACTTTTCTTCTTTTTTTCGAAAATGCAGCAAGGTCGTAATTTTTTCTTTGATTAGCGGCTCTTTATCTGGGCAACCCCTTCGCTGGCCCACTCCCCCTCTCTTCATCCCATCTCTCCTTTCCTTCTCCGTCCTTTCCCGCCTGCCCAGCCACCTGCAGTTGCAGGCCAGGTAAGCCATTTCAGCAGGCCACGTCAGGGTCCTGCGGCGCATGACCGTTCTGACTCGCACGCAAACAGCGGCGATGGATCAGAAGCCAGGTGAGACTGGCGCGGACTACGAAGCACGGCTGGCGGCCATCGTAGCCGAAGGCAAGAAGCGGGCAGACGCAGCAGCARCAGCACGGAAGAAGAAAGAAGCAGAGGCAGAGAGGCTACGTCTTCTGGCTGAAGAGCAGCAACAGAAGCACGCAGCAGCAGCAGCCAAGGCCGCCGATGAAGAACGTGCACGGCGACGCGAGGTCATATTCAGGGAGGAAAGTGCACTTCACGCACAGGCTAAGGATTGGCAAAAAGAGGCCGAGAACGGCGACCCCGTTGACGTCGGGAGCAGAGTGTCTCAACTACTGAACCGCGTCACGGACCTCCTTGCTACTTGTATTGCGCAGCAGGAGGATATCCATTCGCTCGACCACACCAACCAGGTGCAACAACAGTCCATGGACAAGATGCTCCAGCGCATCCAGCAGCTGGAGCAGCAGCTTGCTACCGCCAACTCCGGCGCCGGTCCTTCCGACCTCGTCGACCGCGTCAACTTTTTGGAGATTGACATGGGAGTACTCAAGACCGGGGCGCAACATGTCTGCACCGCCGTCGGCTCCAGCTCGACGCCACGGGAATCCATTGTCAAATTTGACGGGCTTCCGATCTTCTGTGAATCATCGAAGACGGACCCCATACCGTGGTGGCGTCAGTTTGAACTCAAGTTGGACCTTCACCACGTGATCGACACAAACAGGCATGCATATCTGTACTCCCGTTCGGGAGGAGTGTGCCAAGCATGGCTGGATAACATGCTGTCCGCACATGCCTGTACAGTCACCGAACTGCACAAGTACATCAGCTGGGCAGATCTCACGGCGGCGTGGAAAAAGCGTTTCCAAGTCGAACCGCCGGAGCACCTCGCGATGGACAAGTTGCTGACGTTTTCGCAGAACAATCTGCCAAGCGGTGATTGGATTTCTGAGTTCCAACGCCTGGCTAGCACGCCCAAGTTGCCGATGAACTTCGACGGCATCAAGCTGTACTTCATCAAGCGGTCGTGCCCGACATTGCAGAACGCGTTGACTCACGTCGCCGACACCCTCACCACAAGTGAGGAGCTCTTCAACAAGGCTGCGCAGATCATTGTCACGAATCTGGCCGCCCGGAACACGGGCCCTTCGTCATCTGCCGGCCAGGGCACGCATCAGCATTGGCCCAAGGTGGCCGTGGTCGCAGCARCAACGCCTAGCGACCCTTCAACTTCTTCGAACGAGGCTGCTTCATCTGATCAGGGAGCCAGACTAGCAGCTGCCCAGAATGGTGGCCGCCCCGCCAAAGGACGAGGACGCGGCAAGCTGAAGACAACCACCAATACTTCTTCTGGGCCCGGACAGGCAGCTCAAGAACAAGGCCCTTGGACAACATACGGTTTGTCGCCACGCGCATATAAAATTCGCACCAAGTACCGTTATTGCTTGTGGTGCAATAGCTCCGCTCATGAGTCAGCGAGTTGTCCCGCGAAGGCCAAGGGTCCCTCCCAGTCGGGAAAGTGAGCACCGCCGAGAGTGTTGCGACGGCACTCTCGACGCCTTCGGAACCGGTTACCACGCGAGTAACTTCCCTCGGTTCCGGGGCACATGCGGACGTCGTAAGTCCTCCCATTCTTCATTCGTTCGAGGACTATGCTGCCCGGCTCGTACCTTCGCTGATTCCACGAGCCCAAGGACAAGATGTAAGTGCGGTCTCTTCTCCGATCGGTAGCAGCTGCATTGATTCGTCTTCAAGTGGACCTTCACGGGATTCGGCGCACGCGTTCAACATTGAGGACTTG